TCTCCCAAGTTCTGGTGATGATATACACTTTTCCATGTCACATTGTTCCAAGTCCTGCAAACTACATTCCCCTGAAATGACCCACGACTACAGTTGTGCTGCTTGTATAAAGAAAGCAGCACTTCATCGGTGTCAGTCTTCGTGTGAAGGACTCACCTTCCTAACCGGAGTGGCTTCAGCAACTGCGTGACGCAGTGCGGTTTCTCGGTACTCATGAATCGCATTCCGTTGTGAATCAGACAAGTCCGCTTCGACTTCGGTTGGGTCCAGAGCGCTCATGACAATGTTGAAAAGAGCTTCACCATCGTTGCCCAGTGATTTTAATTCAGACAATGTGGGTTGCCGACGTCGTTGACCTGACCCGAATCGAAGCAGAAACAGCAAGAATTAATATTGACTATTGGTCTTACTTGAAACACCTATATAATGAACGGCGGCCTTAACGAGTTGCGCGTTTTTGAAAGCTGTTTGACAAACGATACAGTTTGATTTATTTGGACTGTAGGAATGTGCACATGAGTTGCATCCAAGTAAAATAACTGCTTGGTCTCCAGTTTAAAAACAGAAACTATTATTGTCTATAAAGCTGAAGAACATCAAAAATAATAAGTATTACTTAACCAAATGCTATTTCTTTTACACTAAAAACAATGTGCTCACTTCCTAAGGCAGCATGATGGACGCGTTATTGCTACAGCCCCAGAGAGACGCGAGAAAAACAAAATGCATACTCTACGTTGAAACCGCAGCCCGAATAAATAATTCTGCGACAGGACATTCTTCTCTCTCTCGGAGGTGGGGGAGGAATACATGTGCTCAAAAAACACCATTGAGACCACAAAGGAAAGTCTACACTCTCGACCCGACGGAAGTGTGCAGACACAAACGATAACCAACTGGGAGAGCTTCATCACCTGGTTTGCTCGGGACCAGATCATTTAGAACACGATCTAGGGCGTTCTGCTTTAGCGTATCGTGATGTGCTGCTTCCGCTTGTTCTGCTCGTTCACTCCGGAAAATGTGACGCTTCCATGAAGTGACTTTGGAAGTACTACCGGTGACATCAGCAGTATCTTTATCCAGACCATCCGGTGGGTCCACGGTTTCCATATATTGCATAGGATAACGACGCTGGTAAAAAGCAACAAGAAGTGATTTCAATGAATTGTAAGGCCAGTGCAAGAAAATATGTTTACCAACACCATCACGCATGCTCCATGAACGATTCCGTACGATGAACGGCAATGTTTAAAAGCAAAGATGTGAATGCATATAAACATCCTTTCACTGTTATCTCGGATGCCCAATTTAGTATTCACTCTAAAATTACCATCTCGTACAAAATGCGTCTATTATCTGTATACAATAGCTCTGGTTGAGTTCGGAACTGTAGGATTCAAGTGTGCACATCGGCACATTGAAACGTCACCGGCAGGATCAATTAGTGAACAAAAATAAGAATGAAGGTGGTTTCATCTCCCTCTCCTCTCTCTTACACACACACACACACACACACACACACACACACACACACAACTTTTTTGATCTAAACGATTTCTATTTATCCCCTCACTTGAGCTAATTTCGTCAACATAGATTTAGAATGATGACAAACTAACTAGGTATTTTCGTCCTTACACACTCAAGTCTTCCATCTCGGTGATCAGTGACATCTCTTTGTTAGGCCAAAAATCTACTTAATCACTACTTATCGAAGGCTCAATTGATTGATTAAACCAAATCGGGTTCCATCAGCAAAACTTTTCCTGCAAAAACCATCCCTCTTTAAACAGATCACACCAAATTGTGACCCCGAAACTCCCGGGATCGAATCGCTCCACCGTCGCCCGACTTCTTCATTAGTCTATTTTCCCAGGCAGCAGTCCCTTTCCTGAAAGTTGTGTATTCACAGGAGAATGCACGTTCAGAGGTCGTGCTTTTCATGCCATAATGGGCATATTCTGGAATTTGTTTATTGAATAAATGAAAAAGAAGATAAAAATATACTTATTTTATTAAGGGGCTAAAAATAATCACGGCTTGAAAGAGAAAAACCGAAATGGAACAAAGGGTAAATGGGAAGTCAAATTTTTTCAAGGGGTGGCAATAAATTTTATTGCTTGTTTACTGTACGCCTCTTTCTTGTATGTTATACTTATAGGATTGCATACTGAAAAGAGTGCACTAAAGCCACTGAATTCGATTCTATGGCATATCCTGCACTGTATCCAACCAAGGACTGTTACAATCTTTGGGTGCTCAGTTGCGGAATCAGGAAAACCCGACGAAAACCAGATCCGAGGACAATCTCTTCAACTCTACACGCCACGTCATACGTTGCTCACATCGGTGTTTCTTCCAGTCCAGACTAATAGAACACGGTACGACAGACGTTTCTCAGGCATTTGTAGGAAGTGCCTTAGTCACCTAAGACGATGCAGTGAAATTATTTTGCTCAATAGAAGACTATCTGAACCGAACACACGTCTAACCTAATTGGTATTCACGCGATGCTCCCGCCATAAGCGGGCGATGTTGAGCGGACAACGGTTGCCGAAGTTGTTAGACATGATCTGCTGGCAGAGGCTAAGTTTAGCAGCCGTGAATACCGTTGCGCAATACACATGCCATTTCACTGAAAGGGATGTGTCACACCGGGACCGAAGCTGCCGCAGATAACCAAATGCGAATCTAGCTTTGACTACACGTTGAGAGATCTCCTCGCACAAACATCATCCTCCAGTCGTTATGCAACTCCCGTGGTAGACAAAGCTTTCGACTACTTCCTGAGTGAAGGTACCCAAAAAAGAGCAGAAGTTTCTGCCAACCCTGCAACAACATCTTGCAGGTTGAATGTGCAAAGGACATACCATAACGAGGAACCTCAATAACCAAACAATTTAACGTGTTTAAGTCTACGACTGTCGCCAGTCGTCTCTGAAGCTCCTCGTTAAGTTGTGCTTATTTTGCTCACTGTCTTCCGACATAGCCCGACACGCGTCCAGAAATCGGAAAGATTTGGAGGACACCCAGTGTTTTACAACTGGGGGGGGGGGGGGGGCACAACTGTGAAAACTGGCTAAGAGCGTTGCAATTTGAATGGTTGTCCAGCGTTTATCTACATTGCTTGATAGGGTAATATTTAGTCTTGCGGCCAACTCGTTTTAGTAATTGGCCAGCACAGCCGAGTCGGAAAGCTTGACGACGTCAGGCTGTGTGCACCTCATTTCTTTTTGAGGCTACAGAAGCGCGTAAACAACTGGGCCGAAACCAGTAAGTGAGCAGAGTCCAAGTAGGAAGACTAATAAGAACGGCAATATTTCACACGCTCTCCATCTATGACCGATTGCAAAGAATACGGACGGGTGCCTAGATGATGCATTTTAACAGGGATGTCAAAAACCAGTTCAAAAAAGTTTTCGGGATGAGCGACATGCTGACAATGCGGCATTTGTGTGTAAAGAATTGTGTAAAACAGCAGGATTCATTACAGGCCGAACGACGCGGATATATGTATGTTTTTCCTCCATAACGATCACAAAAGTGAAAAATAACACCCGCATACCTGTATGACAACACGAATAGCGGTACACAGACCTCCGTCCACGGCCAGAGAACACAATGCAACAGGATAAAGACCACTGCCAGATTTAGGCTGTGCAACTGAGAAACCCAGTTTAGTGTGCCAAGGAACAGGCCGAGTGGAATTGCCGTGCAATTTCAGCGCCACGCCAACAGCAGCTCCATCGGATTCAAACAGATGCCCGAAACTCGGATCACTAGATCCACCGGTGGGACGAGTATGAACACTACGCGCGGTTTCTGATACTCCAGTTACCGAGTCGACAGAAACTAGTTCGGCACCAACAGTAACCAGTTTGCAGCCGACCCGAATCCGGGCTGAACGAACCTGACGGGCAAGTGCGGGATCCAGTTGCCAAACTAACTGGTACCAGCCGTCAGATAGGCGAGCCTGAATGTTAGAGAAGAGGAGTCGAACGGAACAGAATTGTAGAATAACATTTTATTCAAACTGGAAAATATCCATGCATCAAGAAGTCAATTTGGCAAACAAGCTCGTTTTTGGTGCATCATTTACTGGGCAAAATACAGCACTGTTTTATAAGTCGGTTAAACAACCTCCCTCCCCCTGTACGTTCAAAAGCAGTCTGTCAGAGTTCTGAATACACCATTACCAGCCACGAACAAAAGAGTGAAACGAAGCCCATTATCAAATTGATTGATCGATTGCTGAAATTATACCACTATTTAGTTAAGAAGCTAGTCATCCAACTTGTGCCACAGAACTCGGAAACAGTCGACGTAAAACGTGTGGAATGTACCGATTGGTTACAGCGATCTAATAACGCGACCCTGAGGCTGTATATTGACGGGATCAACTACAACATATAGTGCTGTCGCAGCTCTGGATGTAACGCCGTTTGAAGCCTCTTGTACAGTAAAGGATCAAACTTGAACAAAATAGCATGTCGCCGGTATCTTGAAGTGTGAATGTCATCCGAAATGAATTGCCATAATTTTAGTGGGTTTCTATCAAGCTGCTCCGCATCAAGTGTTACTGACTATTCGGGTGTTTCAGTAGTCTTTATTTTTGACCATGCGCATTTACATGCCAACCACCTAATTCGATCTACCCCACCATATGGTCAGTAAATTCAAAAAGGAAGGCGTTTGCAATACTTCAATTCGCTTATTATTATTACGGATATTACAAAACTGGTTCATGACTAAAATTTGTGCGTCGAGTACTACGGGTTGTGGCTAAAGCATTGCGGGTGTTAGCTAAAGCTTGATGAGGAAAGGCGTGGACACATTACCCAGAAAGGGAAGTGCATTGAGTTCCGTCCGTGAATTGGCTCCGAATCAATGAAGAAATTCAGTACAAAAATGACAGAATAGGTAAAGGCAGTTTAAAAATTTTTTATAATACACTTTAATGAGATGAACAGCAGACGCGCTGGAGCCCATAGTCATAAGGTCCTGCTGTTCGGTACCGGAAAACGATAAAATAATCCCTGGGACCTGGAATAGCGAACCATAAAAGCTCCACGAGGTTAGGTGTGCTATTGAATCGGACGACAGCAAAGCTGTTAGGTAATAAAAAAACAAGTTGGGTTGACCGGGAAAAAGGTTTTCCAAAAAACTGCATGCTTAGACAGTGAATTGAGATCACTCCGGCATAGAAGTGTGGTCAGGAATAAACCGTGCAGTAGTTCCATATAGAATTGCTGTAGCTAGATTTGATCGATCGAAAAATTAACTGCATATTGGGAGTTTGTCGCCCATTCGCTAAGTACAATGCATTAAATATTTTCTTGTGCAAATTGAAAGCCTAACTTAGATCGCGCGTGTAGATCGCAGTAATTTCACTTAATCCACGGGCGACATCCCAATCTAACCTAATGAAAACTCAAGTGATTCATTGTTGCAATTTTTGAGGTTCATGTACGTGTGGCATCATTTCGCAGATGAAGATTTACCGACTACGGAGTCTACAGCTTTTCATTAACAAGTAAAGCAGAGAAAATGTTAGACTCCATAAAATCAGTACGAATTGAAATAACATGGCATTAAGGAGATTCAACAACACAATCAATAACTATATAACGCAGCTTACCTTGATCAGGCTAGGGTTACTAGTATCCAGTTCGGAAACACAAAGCACCAGGCGTCGAGCTGCTGTGTCATCCAGTTCGACTATACGACGTAAAGCGGGACTGAAAATGCAAACATTGGCCAAGAATTTTGTCAGTATATTGATCTCAATGTGAGACATTAAATGTCAATTATCAAAAATTAATCAAAAAGTCTGCAAGTTTGCAGTTTTTATAAGCATTAACTATTCACTTTCGTGCGCCGGTTTTGGTTGCTGTCTTTTAGTCGCCCATTCGGATAAAAGAGCATAATGAAGATCGGAATATTGAGAGCAAATTCAAGGGGAAGAGAGTGTTCATGTGGACCGCGGTTGCAAGAATAGAGAATAGATGCATGAGCGCCACTGTTTGTGACACCCAGCTATATCGCTCAGTGTCTCTAACCATCGGTAACCATGACCTCGGGGTTCCCAACGGGATCTATGTGACCCAGTTTCATGGTTAGGGTTTTCATACTCTCATGCCAGGTCTTAGTTTGACCGCTCTTGATCTTTTTCCAATCGCTACCTGCTTCGGAAAACATCGTTCGCCGTGAAACCCTATTTGGTGACATGCGTAACACATATTCCAAACAGCGTAATCTATGGAGGTCGACCACTTGCTCCAGTGGACGACCGAGACTGCCAAAAACTCTACACCTAACCTCAGTATTGCTAGTCCGGTTATCCCACCAGACTCGTGCAATGCGACGTAGACAGTGCTGTTCAAACACCGACAATTTATTTTTATTCTATTCCCGTAATGGCCAACTCTTTGCACGGATCCGCAAACGAATGAGGTAGGGGTGAATTCGACGAAACGTCATCGATAAAAACGGTAGCGGTTCGCAGTGTGTACCCCACAGTAGACCGAAAATAAATGGATAGCCAGTTTTTAATGAACCTTTAGAACGTTAAAGAATGGACATCCGAAGATCCTTCAATCAACTGATCGAAAACTTGCACTCGATTGTGACAGACAGGGCGAGAGCATTCGGGGAAAATGTGAACACATCATAACAGAGCAAGTACGTAGCCACTAACGCATTTCAGTCGTGTCTGTCGGAATTGGGTCGCTGATTCGCCTGGTTCTATAGAGCAGGTGTGTGTGTGTGGGGGGGGGGAGTATGCGGGGTCACCTCAACAGCTCCTGTTCTGACTGCATTGCACTGTGAACATCACAAACAGTACCAAAGCATGGTAGCAAGGCTTAGTATCGAATGATTTCGGTAGGTAGGTGGTTTCCTTTGAGCGGTTAAGGAGCGAGGAAAATACAGGTTGCAGTCTAGCTATAACTCGCGGTTTGCGAAGCTGCCACGAGATGATGGCACTCGTTCTCATCAGAAAAGTAAATACAATAACCCAACCGTTAATAACTATATTGTGTTCCAAATGGGTCTGAGCGTTAACTGTCAAACAAATCACAGTACAACAATTTTTAAAACAAAGTAAAAGATCTGGGATTCGTAAGAGTGGGGAATACTGACAGGTTACCTGGGAAAAAGTATGTAAACTTTCTTGCGGAATTCACAACTGGGGTCTGTGGCTAGCCGAAGCTCCACAGTTCAGGCAGCGGGGTGGTGTATCTAAACCGCAACTCGTTAGATCATACATACATCTTTCGACTGAATTAATAAGTCTGAGGGGCTCAATACAACTGGATGCCGATGACCATTTCCAAAACCAGTAAGATGTGAGTGATTCATATGGTTCTTCGTGGTTCATTTGGAATCCGGATTGCTTTGTTAATTCCGCTGGATAAACTGCCAGTTGTTTACAGACTCGCTTATGACTGTGGTTGTTAGATTTTAGTACTCTTCGGTCAGGTATCGATTTAATGGATGCTAGGTTGAAAAACAGTGGGTGCGAATTATCACGACAGCTTCGAGTTACACACTTTATCCGTGGTGTCCAGCTGTGAATGAATTGTACCAAAACTATTCTTTGTGCAATTCAACATAGCGATTACCAGTTGATTACAACCCATCCCATTCGCTGCAAAATCTCAATGCACCATGCCCGCGTACCTTTGGATTGGCGCGAAATTCAACTATGGTAATATTCTCTCCCTTCACCTTCAAGAAATACTTTTTGGAAGGGACATTTCGATAATGTCTGGCAGCCCAACAACACCCACATGTTGCCTTTCCAATCGAGAACACGAGCACAAGTGGGCCAGTTTAAAATGTGAATTCCTCGAGAAAGGAACGATGTATTTTTAATGAACGACAAGTGTACGACGATTATTCCACGGTCATCAAAATAAACATTGGTACTAATTCTAATTCCATTTTGACTGTTGTTAGTCACCCACGGGTATATGTAAAAATGATTCACCGTTCGTCGATTGCGCACCTAAAAGTGCTTTGTTCTGAAGATAGTTGGAGAGAAAAAATCACATTCAATGAAAAATTTCCCTTGTGTTCTTCCAAACCATTCACTAGTTCTCAAACGTTCGTAAAAAACCTGTACACATGCACATTTAAACAGGGTGGAAAAAGTGAAAGTTGGTCAAGCTAAGATCTGATATGAGGAGTTATGAAAACACGGACCAGGTGACTCGGTCGTATAGGTTGCGTTAGACTCCATGGATAAGGACCTTGAGTTCCTCGTGACCGGTGATTAGGGACACTGAGTGAAATGGCTGATTGTCGTAAATAGTGACGCTCATTCATCTTCTCCATTTATTCTCCTAGACTCCACTTTCTACTTTCTAATCATTCTTTTGCCCGTTCACCAAAATGGACAGCCAAAGGACAGCAAGCAAAACCGCCGCAGGTTGTACAAACTAGAACTGAAAAAGTTCAACCGAAAGCAAAAGCAGACTGAAGATCTGTAATATTATTATTATTATTATTATTTCGTGTTATCAGCGTAATCGGAGAAATAAATGAGTCGAAATATCGATAGATCATTTTCTCTCTCCTTGTTCCTTAGGTGGTTACTCTGACCCTGTATTGAAAGGTCAACATCAATGCTAAATGAGTTCAAGATTCGCCTCAGGCAATACGATTATAGTTGCTACCATATATATTGGCGTGGTAAAAAAGCTGGATAATCATCGACCTAGTAAACAGAAATCAGTAGAGAATTTTGGGATCACGGCAACAAATAATTTTTAGTATTTCACAGGTAATTGGATTTAGTTTTGCTATCCTTTCTGCTATTTTGCAATTTCCTGCTTTGTAGTTGAGAGCAAATGTGAAGCTCTTTTTAAAAAATGTACCTTTCAATGCTGAAAAACCGTGTATTGGCAACAACAGAAGTGTTTCAATGAGAAGCAACCAGGGGCTCAAGGGAACAATGCGCATCAAACCCTAACAGGGCCTAGACCGAAACAGCCTATCTAACGACTCGCGTCCCTATGTAGGTCCAATCATGGACAATGAATTATCGATCCACCTTATCGCATCTCGAGTTATTTACGCGACTAATGGACCGAGGTATTATCTCATTCCAGTCCAAGTCGGCCAATCTACGAGAGGAAAAAGATGCTGACCCTGCCAAAATTCACTCGTTGTGGCTATATTTGACCAAAAATAGGGCTTATCCAATGTACTCGTGGCGGCCTAAGCGACATGTCCCAGTCCAATCAACCCCGGCCTATTAGCTCAGTTGCAAAGGTCTATCTAGCCCGTGCCTTAGTCAACCAGTTCAGTCCGTTTGACGGTTTAGATACCCTATAAGTCGGACAACCTGTTTCTGGTTGTGGTGGTGGCTAATACTACTCAAGAAGGAGCAACCACATAGCATCACATGGTCCTAAAGGTCATTTTGTTGATTAGTCCATAGGTGCGTTTACGTGTTGGTGCTTAGGTGCACTACACTCGACTCTCAGTGAATCAGCACTGTAACAGTCATCCAAGTCTTGAATGACTGTCAGCTAAGTTAACAAAGGTAACCTCAGATGGTCAATGTGGCTGAACGGCAAAGAAGGCAAGTTCGAGTGCTCGTCAGTTTGGTAGAATGGACAGGTATTTCGAAAACCAAGTTGTACCATTCCGGCGACTTTATTGGACCTGATTTGACATAAAACCTCTCAGCTTAACCAACCCACGAGGGACTCGATGGACAGTGAACGTTAATTGAGGAAGCTATCCAAAGAACAATCCACACAGCGGTGGCTTCTGGCGCGCGATCAAAACACAAGCGATGAATATTACCTATCTCTGTGACCCTGCCGGACGCTCGCAAAATCATTCTTCCTGCCACTGACACTGTGCTCAAATCCCTGAAACGCTAGATAATTAATAGCCTGAGGAATGATCGCCATAAGTGATGGGTAAGAAAGTGCAGGGAGATAGACAAAGCTGCAGGCAATGGTAACGGTCGTATTCTTTTCCTTTTAATAAGAAGTGTGGGGTCAGGAAGAATAGGTGATATAAAGGAGCCTGATAGCACACTGATTCACAGACAGCAATGCCACCTCGAAAAATGGGCTGAAAATTTCGAGGATCAGATCAACTAATCCCCACGAACATTAAGTCTATCAATCCATAACTCATCTCGATAACTACTACCAGCTGATAACAGCCATCACACGAAGACGTTTCCGAGCTTACGGCACTCTTACGCCTAAATTCACCAAGGACAGTGGTTTTTAACAGGGTTTCCTTCTTTTGTTTCTTTTCTATCCTCGGGCGAGGATAGCGGCGGTTATTTATTCCCAGGTGGTGGACTGTCTGATCTGGCGAAGGCAGATAACATTGTACTGCTAAGTGAAGAGTCAAGTAAGTTGCCAGTTTTTCTGGATGGCTTGAGTGATGATGCAACCATGTTTGGTATATGTCTTGCACCTGCAAAAGAAAAATATTGCTACAAGAGTGGGTTACTTCAGACTCCAATCTCTCTCTAACTGGAGAGTTAGCAGAGGAAGAAGAAACATTTTACCAGTTGGGTAGCTATATCTCACCAGCAGGACACATCGCTGACGAAGTGTCAGCTCGCATACAGAAGGCTCGATTGGCATTTGCCAACCTAAGACTTCCGTGGCGCCCTCAAGACATCCGACTGTTCACGAAGGGCATGATGTGTGTTGCAGCAGTTCGTCCAGTTCTGCTATACGGTGCAGAAACTTGGTCATTACGAAAACGAGAACATTGTTTTCTACGTCGTATTGTACGAGTCTGATGAGGTAACCAGACCAGCAATACTGATGTTAGGCGTAGAGTTTTAGGTAATCGCAGTTTTCCACTCGAGCAGGTGGTCGAACTCCATAGATTACGTTGGTGGGGGCCTATGTTACGCATGTCACCAAATAGGTTGCCACGACGCGCAGGAATTGAATGAGAAGGACCAAGATTGCCTAATTGAGACGAGGTATGCGGGTATGAAAAGCCTAAGCAAGAGAATCGGTCATTTGCCTGCGGTAGGCTCCATGGATGAAGACTCCGAAATTATCGTAACCGGCGATTGAAGACACTGATTGAAAGGACTGAGTCACAAATAGTGGTGCTCTGCATCTTCTGAATTTCTTTGCAACGTTTGTTTACTGCAATTTTATCATTTTCCCGAAGACTAGATTTTCAGCTTCGCAATTTTTCTTCTACTCATTTATCTAAATGGGTAGTCAAAAGATGGCAACCAAAACCGGCGCATGGCAAATGGCTGTACATACCGAGCTGAAAATGTGGTATATGAAATGAATGGAAATGAAAGGATTGCTCGTATTATAAAGTTATATATATGTACATTATGAAAACACAGAAATACTCTTACCGTTCTACTGCATCCAGTTCACGATCATATCGGTAGCGCAGACGCAACAGTACGTGATGTGGACTGAAGTAATTTTCCGGAAGCGGATTTTTCGCTTGCGTAGAGAAACGCAAAGCCGTGCATCCTAATTTCCATACCACATGATCATAGTGGTGCTCGAGCCAACGTTGAGAAACGAGTTGAAGACTAACTCCTGGTGAAGCCATAAACGCACTGAAGTGGATTACGGACAAAATGTGACAAAATTTAACCCGCATACTACCGCACCCTCATGCACATGTATAGATAAGCTAAGCATAAAGCTCAAGATCAGAACATAATTTCGTTGCCACGTCTTGTTTCTCATACAATATGAGTAAATGCGTCGTTTTCATAAAGATCTTTGGTTTCAATAATCGGTTGCAAGTGGCTAAAACAGCTTGAGGGAACCCACGTCTTAGGTTTAGTTGTGGGTATGGAATTGATAGATTACTACGAAGGGGGGGGGATAATCTTCGATCGACTTCA